TTGTACTTGTAAGACTTGTAAGTGGACAGTATTTTTTTCTGTTGTATTATCGTTTTGTAAGCGAAATTTTGCCTGCCATGTAAATTTATGCAGCTTTTCAAATTTATGACCCTGTCCATTTAAAATCCGGTATAACGGAGTCCCCATTGAAACGACATTGAAAAAATTAACAAATTAATTTGGGGTTTTATCAATTTTGTGGGATCTCTAAAATTTTCATACATCAATGGCACGGCAAAGTTAAATTAAAGAAGATTATGTTATTTGCATAAATTTCTTAATTAATGCTGGTTTACCAAGGTCTAGTGTTTTAATTTGACTGATTTACCTTCCCAAAAAGTCGTAGGCGAACAAGAAATTTGTTTAAAACATTTTATGTTTATTTAATTACTATCTTTACAATATTATTTTATAATTCCTCATAATAGTAATCCGCAATATCCTTATTTTTTATTCTCTTACAGCTTGCGCATTCAGAATATAAAGAAAAGTAAATTTAAATGTAGTCGAAGAAGAATTTGTTTTATGAAAAAGAAGATTGATTTAGAATTTCACCACACTGACTGTTTAAAGCAACTGCAGATAAGAACAATATTGTTATACAGATCTTCACTATGGTTCTAAAACTTATTCAAACTCACTTTAAATTAAGATTTCCATTTTGATCTTTTTCTTTTAAAAGTGGTATGATGTTAGTCAAGGTGGGGTCTGTTTTGGATTGGACATTTTCCATAGGAAGCTATTTTTTTGCTGGAATCCCTTCAGGATGTGCCCAATATCGATAATCACGATATGCGCCATCGCAAACCCTGTGCTAAATTTTTTATTTAACAAAATCTGAAAACAATTGAAAATTTCTCATTTTTTTGCTCCTATTTCGTTTATAATTCGGAAAATATTGATCATAGAGAACAAATTATACGAAATTAAAAGTTTCGATATTCAATTTTACACAACATTTCGTTAGCTAGAAATTGAAAATGTAATGTTTATTGTTGAAAACATAGCAATATTGGAAAAAAAGTACAAAAAATGAAGTTAATCCTTTAAATGTTTTCGACTTTCTAAACTTGACTTACAAGCTCCATATTCCGCCTAGAAATACTTTTTAATATGTTTAAAACGTGTGATAAATTTTGTTAAGATCGATCTAATAGGTTTTGCATAATAATTTTGCAATCTAGCCTACTGCAAAAAAAATCGCAAATTTTCAAATTTATAGTAGGCCCTAAATAAGGCCCTCAGATAGTTGCAAATTTTTTTACATATAAAAGAAGGCTCAAACTTTCAAACGCTTTTTGTAAATTTCAAATCGGTTTACTAGGAGAGCCTAGAATTTTAAAGTTTAAACATTACATTTAACATTACATTAAACATTAAACATTTTTAGGCTATAAACAAATTGAATAACTTTACAAGCTTTAAACATATCAATTACAAAATTTATACACTTAAATAACATTAAAATAAGCTTCTTTAAAAAAAAAATACATTCGGCTTACTGGTTGTCGAGATATTAAAGGTCAAAGTTGGCATACATTTGCCGTGTAACCATAAGTGATAGAGGGCTCGTTTTTAAACAAATACCCTCGTCTTGTCAAGTACTTTTTATATGAAAAGTTTTACGTAATAAATAATAAAAAACCGTTTTCGCGTAAAATGTCACTCGGAATGCATGAGTGGTGGTGGTGGGGACATTCACTCGAAATGTGAATCGGCGAGTTCAAAATCATACTGGTCTTAGTTCTGTTAGTAATTTTTTAATTAAAGTAATATTATAATTGTAAACTGCAGCGTTTTACGTTATTATAAACTACAGTGTTCTTAAAAAGAGTTCGTTTCGGATTGGGAGACCAGATAAGTGGAAAAGAATAGGGGCTAAAATCTCCAAACAGCTTTTAATCGATCCATACAGATTAGGCGTATAAAAAGAAAAAAACTAAATGCAGTTACCAACAAAGAGGTGTTATGTGTTTATAATCTGGATGGTTTTGGAGTATGTAAACCGTTTTTTTTTAACGAAAAGTTTTGATGTCTCGAACAAAATGTGGTTAAAAGCAGAAAAGTCTCCTCAGGCGTGTCATGCATATACAAAAGAGGAAAGAAATCACCCTAGAACAAAATTTCTGAAAGGTCAATTGAAATCATAATAGAGAATATTAATAAGGAAAACAGGAAGAACTTGTAAGTGAAAGCTTTTACAGGAATATTCTTATCTATGATAATGGAATATTCTAAAATGATAAAAATAAATTATGGTTCGGTAGAAGAAAGCACTTTAGCTCAGACGGAAAAAGACATTTTCTTGCGTAAGGCTGAAGCCGTATGAACAGCAAAAGATGAGCATCATGACCTAAAGTTGCGATCACCTTCAACAGACAAAAACTATGCACCTCATGTGTCAACTTCTAAAAAATATTATTCAAGGCAACTATGGACGTATACCATAGGGGTCTATGACCTACAAACTGAAACGACCCATTTCTTTATGTGGTATGTATGTCGGGCGTCACGTGGTTGTTCTCCTAAAATATATCAGAAGCCTTCTGCCATCAGTGAAAGACATAACTACATTTAGCGACAAGTGTGAGGGCCAAAATAAGAGTCATCTGACAGTCAAAATTTAGCTCTACATTATCATAAATACTAATATTTAAACAGTCAATCATCGCTTTTTACAAGTAGTCATTCTTATAATGAGTGTGGTCAATACTTTGGTTTGATAGAGTTAAAAAAAGAACCAAAAATAACCTGTGTATAGCTAACATTGGATGGAGCTGGTAACTTCTACAAGTAGAAAGTTCTTTACAATCCAGATGGAAAATGGTTACATTTTCAACAGGATAAACTTTTAACCTTGTTTTACAAGAAAACAGTTAGAGGTGTCATAGAACAGTTTAGTGAGCCATCTATGAAACCCACTCGAGCTGCCAAAAACTCGGCCCTTTGCCAGATCACTTGCCATTACCGCTTGACAAAAAACCTCTTATTAAGTAAGCTAAATATTCAAATCTTCAATATTTAGCCAACTACGTACCATGAGTTTTTTTATGAATCTGCGACACGATGGCTAACAAGCTAGATAACTAGCAAGAAGAAGCAGATGTCGAAAATGACGATTACAACACTAATGTTGATTAATCATAAGTCAATTATGTATTAGTGTTATGGTGAAGAATAAATTTGTACAGAAACTTTATGACCTTTTTACATTTTTTACTTTGTGTTGCATTTCTTAGAAGTAAAAGGGTACAAATGCTACTTAGCAAGCTAAAAATAGCTCCAAAATTAGTAAAGTCAATAAAATTATAATTTTTTGTTACAATTAATAATAGTAATACCTACAGTTACTTAATTTTTAAGTTCAAAGGCTCAACTTTGAACAGCGTTTATTCAAAATTTAATTTTGCTCATTGTTTGGTAAGTACTGTTTTATTGTAGGGTTCCGTCAAATATTTCGCTTTCCAAAAGGGTTCCGTCACCAAAAAAGATTGAGAACCGCTGTTCAGGGATATATATTTGGTCATCAGTACGGTGCAGCCAAGTTAATTTATTAAAAGAATCACAATAGTCTCCTTTGTCACCTTTCTTTGCTTAACTTTGTCACCTTTTTCTTTGCATATATTTGTGTTTAATCTAAGTCTATAATCAATCAATTGTCTTAACATTTCAAAATCACATCATTAAAGTTTAACCAACGCAAACGCAGTACCTTCTTTGCGACGTTACCACTACTATATATTTCTTCTTGATACGATGAACACAAATTTACGCATATTTCAAGACCACCCAAGATATTTCTTGGTGACTAATAACCCTATAATTATAACTCGTAAAAATAATTACAAAGAAAGAACAAAAACAAACCAAACTGGATAACCTTGCATGCAGAGTTCCAAGAGTTGAAATCATCATTCATCAATATGCTGTTTTTTTTTGTTTTTTTTTACTTCTCTATGATTAATCTTGCAAAGAATGTGCTGTCACTTTTTTAAACGTTTATTTTTGTTATTTCCTGACACACCTCTAGTACAAAAATATCTGGTTCGGTTTATGCATCGAAAAATTCGTACAAATGGACTCATGATTTTTGATTTTTAAAAACTATTCGATTACAAATACGTCTTGAAATATAAATACTTCTATACGAAGAAGGTTGCGTTTCGATTTAATTTGAGTCTTTTAACACTCCCTGACACGTGTTTCTGGATCTACCCGTCATCAGAATGAGTTTGTAAGAAGACTCTCATGCTTCTGATGACGGGTAGATCCAGAAACACGTGTCAGGAGTGGTAAGAGACTCAAATTAAATCGAAATGCAACCTTCTTCGTATATTTATCGTCCTTACTCGACGCAATGAGTACAAGCATGATGGTAATTTATATGGGTAAATTGTTGGTGCATAGTGGAATATTCTTCCCAGCACAACTCTGAATGGCTTGATTAAGCTTGGGTATACATTTTACTTTAATTGCTATCGACCTATCTTCATAAATGCTTCTTTTTAGCATTCTATACTCCTATTTAATCTTTTCATAATTTACTCTTTAATGATTTTAATTGCCTTGTGTCCTGATGCCAAATATATTTTATGTATAAATATTATTGCAGGGACAGAATTCGTATAAATATGTTGATTTTTCAATTGTTTTCAATTCAATTTCAATTGTCATGACATCAAGGGATACCTCATCAGGTCCATTCACCGGATAGATTGACAGATTGATTCGGCGAGTGGTATTGTACAGCCGTTCTTAGTTGGTGGAGCGATTTGTCTGGTTAATTCTGATAACGAACGAAATATTAGATTTATTGACGCTATTAGATATGGATTAAATGTCTCAATGGACAGAAGAGGAAAGAAAAAAGGTGTAAAAAAGGATGAACAACACTATCCTGGAGTGGAATTATCAGGTAGGCAATGAAGTGCAGAAATTTGGAGTAAGAGAATGCTCAATAGTATAATTTAGATAAAATGTAAATTAAGAAAGCTACTTACTTAGAAAATTGCTCCGGGTACATAAGGCAAGATGCTTCTACAGACGAACTGTAACAAAAAAATCACTAAATGATGTATAAAATTGAGAAAAAACAAAAATAATGCTAATGGATATTTTTATAGTATACACAAAATAGATATGTTCATACACTATTTCAAAAACTGGATTTATAACTTCAAATTTATAAAAGTAGCAATATCCCCGGTTCTGATCAGCGAAAACTGATCTTCTTACGGTGCCTTATCCTTAAGGACGTTGGCCATTACATTTGCCCATTTAATCTTATTTGTGGCAGCCCTGAATAGTTCTATGGAGGTCATGTTCATCCATTGCCGTAGGTTTTTAAGCCAAGAGTTGCGTCTTCTTCCTGGTCCTCTTTTGCTATTGACTTTTCCTTCGATTATAAGTTGGAGCAGTTCATACTTTTGATTTCTTATGATGTGACCAAAATATTGTGTTTTCCGTTCTTTTATTATAAGCATAAGCTCTCTTTCCTTATTCATCCTCCGCAAGACTTCCGCATTTGTCGTATGGCTCATGTAGGATATTCTGAGCATTTTACGGTAACACCAGAGTTCGAATGCTTGGATTCTTTTTGTGTTGCTTCTGTCATTGTCCAGGCTTCAACTCCATAGAGCAAGGTGGAAAACATAGCACTTAAGTATTCTAGTTCTCAATGAGATGCCCAGCTGGCGGTTGCATAGAACTTTTTGCATTTGTAAAACATTGTACGTGCCTTTTCCAGCCGTATTCTTATCACTAGTGAGTGGTCCCAAGTTTCATCAAGATTACTTCCAAGGTACGTGGTTCTTCTTAGTCTTTCCAGATCTATTCCATCGAGATTGACCTTCACCCTTCTGTTTTGGTGCTTGCTGATGACCATCGTTTTTGTCTTCTTTGTATTCAATTTCATTCCAAATTCTCTACAGGCTATCGTTACTCGGTCCATTAAGCGTTGCAGGGCTTCAGCACTGTCTGCCAGTATGACAGTGTCATCAGCATATCGCAGGTTATTTATACATTGCCCGTTTATAATTATACCATCCGAGGTGCCTTCCAAAGCTTTCTGAAATATCTTCTCAGAGTAAACATTGAACAGCAAAGGTGATAGGACACATCCCTGTCTTACTCCCTTCTCGATATTGATTTTTCCAGATGTTTCGCTTTTTATTCTGATTTTAGCCTTTTGTTCTTGGTAGAGGTTTGAAATGATCCTTAAGTCTTTATCGTCGATATTACATGACCTTAAAATATCTATTAGTTTATCACTAAACTGATGATATTTTTAATTCATAAGATTTAATAAACAAAATAATTTTAAGTTTTTGGATGCAGTTGGTTTACAATAATTATAATTGCGCATGATTTGCATAAACAACAACTCCAATACAATCATTCAGGAGGAAGTGTAGAAGAAATTGAGTGGAGTGCCTGTAGATGGCAACCGATTGGATCCCCTGTCGCATGGTGACAGGCAAATTCGTTAATAATACATAAATATTTAAGTTACTATCATTCCATAACCTTCTCTAGCAATAATAATAATAGTGAAATTTTGCAAATTAAATATTTATTTTAAATTATTACAACTTACTGGGTTACAGGAAAAAAACAATTCACAAATTAACTAGGTAATTGCATTTTTATAATTTACGCAACAAGATACCCCAATTAAAAAGAAACTTCAATTTTTGTTGGTTAGTTTGGAGGTATTGCTACTTTTATAAATTTGACGTTATAAATTCGGTTTTTGAAATAGTAAAATCGAGAGAATGCAAATCGTTTCGCTTCCAAAAACTTAATCTTTTTCGCATCATGGCACAAATTTTGTTTTGTCAAAACTCTTTCAAACGGTGTTTTCAAATTTATTAATCTTTATAAACAAAGCAGACTCCAGTTCTAAGATCGTGGAAAGGGGCCAACATTTTGAATAAAAAAATTAACTTCCTATATACACTAGTGGCCAAAATTCTGGAAACTTTCAAAAATTTAGTTTTGTTATCAGCATTCCTCTTTTTCACAAGACTTATGTTATTTATAAGTTTATCTATAATTTTATTACATCGTTTTATGCTTCTACTTAATATTTAACATCTATTTTAAGGGGGAAAATCCTCTAAAAATTTAAAAATAAATAAAACAACAGCCGTTAGCTATTAGTAGATATATTAAAAAAAATGGTACAATGATTATTATCAACAAAATTAGTATTTGGTAGGATAACCTTTGTTTTTTAGGACAGACTCAATTCTGCGAGGCATGGAGTTGACAAGACGAGCCAAATCTTCTGGTGTAATAACTCTAAACCAGTTTTGAATAATGGCTGTCTATCAGTTCTCTCTTGTTGCTTGAGTTTCGGCGTGATACTAAGACTTTCAGCCTTGGCCATAAATTTTCTATTGGATTTAGATCGGGACTATTTCCAGGCCAAGCAACAGTAACATCATGGTTTCTCAACCATTCCATGGAAGTCTTAGCCGTATGACAAGGCGCTCCATCCTGCTGGAAGATGCATTGTTGGGCATCCCCTTCGAACAAATCTCTGATAGTCGGCAGCAGTTTGGCTTGCAGTACCTCTTCCTGATATTTTTTTGCATTAATATTGCCCTCTATTACTGCTAAACGTCCAACTCCATTAGTGGTCATGCAAGCCTATACCATGACACTCACAGGATGCTTCATAGTGACCGTAGTACACTGGGCAAAAGGTCTTCTCCCGGTCGGCGGCGAACAAACTTCACTCCGTCACTCCCAAAGATCGAGATTTTGATTTCATCCCTCCAAATTACTTTACTCCCTTGTTCTTCTGTCCACCCTCTGTGTGTCAAAGCCCAATCAATGCGTTTTCGCCTGTGTTTTTTGTTCAGGAACGGCTTCTTTCTAGGAATTCGTATTCGTAATCCATTTTCACACAACTTTCTTCTGATAGTGCGGTCCGATATTTGTAATCCAGTTGATTTGACAATACCGTTAATATATTTTGCGGATCTGCGACGATCTTCTAAAGAAAGTCGGCATATTCTACGCACATCGTAGTGACTAACTTTGGGTTTTCTGCCAGATCTTTTTGCTGATTTTGTCGTTCCACGTTTGCAAACTTTCATTACATCTGATTTTGTGGCGCCACCACCCAATTTGTTTGCTATGTCTTGATAAGTGAAACCTTCTGCTCGAAGGATAATTGCTTTGGCTCTCTTTCCTGGCGACCAGTCAACACGTTTTGGGTTTCTGGTTGCCATTTTCGTTGAATCGACGCTGATGAATTCTTCTCCGACAATTAAACAATATCACCTTAGAAACAACTACCTGATGTCACTAATAAATACTGGAAGCCGCACGAAACTGTACTAAAGGCCACCTAACCGCTTCCAGTAGGGTTGTTGACCGACTAGCAAAACCCTGACTCAATATAGTATTCAATGTTGCCATTCACAAATCTCGGATTTTCGGAGTTTCGCTTGAATCTGGTTCCATATTTTATTAAATAATGATGTTAATAAAAAAGAGTGAGAAATACATAAAATATTATGCAGGGATATAAAACAATAAAATAAAAATGTAATTGTAATGGTAAACTATATAAATCATGATCATGAGACGAGTCTTGCTAAAAAAAAAAAAACGATAATTTTTGTAAAGTTTCCAGAATTTTGGCCATTAGTGTATTAATACATCTGAGTTATTTTAAATGTTTATAATAAGCCTAAAATCACAGTACTTTTGTAAACCAATTTTACAATATTTAACATAAATTTTTGAATCGCTGCATGATTTAATTTGATAAAATAAGCATTTCTGTTGAATTTGGCGCTTTCAGAATTCACGTAGACTAAAAATTCCAAAGATATAAAACTTCCGACTAAATATGACACCATATAAGGTAAAATCTCCTCGGGTAATGCAGCTTGATCCGTTACTGCGAATTTATTTCTGTGGCTCTCAGAGCTCTCGCGAAGAATTTTATATAAATATAATAAATAAGTTCCGCATACCTGTAAACCGTGTGTTGCTTTCCGCATTTTTTAGATATCACCGAAGGTATGTAAAAGTCTTGTTAAGAATTGTGTACTGGAACAGATTATTAATTTTAAAGTAAACACCGTTCTTTATGTGCATGAAGAAGACAAAAAGTGGTTTTAAAGGTTATATACGAGGACTGCTTGAAAGGTTATTTTAACATATATTTAGAAGAAATAGTCCAGGATGAATTGGAAGTGTATTAAATAATACACCTACCAACAATTAATTACTTGTAGGTGACATGGTCCTGATAGTCCAATAAGCAGGGGATATACAACAAATGATTGATATTAGGCATATATAACAAATCATCGAAACATAATTGCAGAAGTTAACAAATCAAAAAACAATGATACATACAATAAGCAAAAATAATGGTAGAAGAAAAGGATTCAAAAATCGATGGAAAAGGTATTTTGGCGGTTTATTAAATGAAGAATTTGACAGATTAGTTGAGTGTTGGAGGCAGTAACAGAAATGCTCACGAAAATAATAAACGAGGCGTGATTGGCGCTATGACATCTGGTTCATCAAAGAGTTGGTATAATTCGAAATTAAATATCTTTTACGCCAGTGCCCTTGATCGCCTATAGCTCCAAATATTTTGCATAGTACCTTACGCTCAAATATTCCCAACAGTCTTCAGCGTTAGGCTAGGCGCATACACATCGAAGTTGGACGGTCGATAAAAGTTCGACCGACCTTTTGTCGATGATGCCTTGCGCGCATACTACACGATATTTATTCGATGACGTTTTTGAATCCACAAAGGTTTGTTAGGTGGAGTACACAAAATCACAATGAACAATACAGAACCACGTAGCAACACGGAGCGACGTACCTTGAGCAGTGTCAAAAAAACGCAACTGGTCCTCTGGTCGGTCGATAAAGATCGATGTGTGTGTGCGCGTTCATTTGATACTATACGCCTTGGAACGACGGCAACGACCACGGCAGGCGTGAATGCAGTGAGCAGTGACATTCATCGATCGCCACACGACATCGATGCCGTGCCGTTTGGCGATCG